AGAATAAATAAATAATACTTCCTTAGATATTATGCTGATAAATAGAAAATAAAAATATTAATAGAGCAATTTTATTATTCTAAATATGTATATCTGTTGGATTTTTTTTTTTTTTTATCCAGTCCAGATATCTCTTCTCTCTTGATTCATCTTGTGGGACAAATTTGTATTCATTTTATATAGCTTATAGCTTATAACTCTGGAGTTACTGTGTAGAATTTGTATGCAATCTGGAGTTATAGCATACAGAATTCCAATATTAGGATTCTCAAGCATCAAATCTGTTACATATACTATTCTCAAATATTGGGCTAGTGTGTATTAAAATGGTAGAGTTTTGTGTGTGTGTTTTTTAAAGATTTTATTTTTAAGTAATCTGTATTCCCAACATGGGGTTCAAACTCACAACCCTGAGATCAAGAGTCGCATGCTCCACTGACTGAGCCAGCCAGATGCCCCTAAAGTGGTGGAGTTTCAAACAATTTCCAGAGATTCACCCTAGGACTAGTCAAATCCCAAAGAACATAAAGAAAAGTGATTTATTTTAGGACTATGGAAATACTGATTCAGCTGGAAGAGTTGCATTCTCATCCTGGACCTCTGAAGGTAGAAAAAGATATGTGGAGGAAGATGAGATAAATGTAACCTCTTCTACCCAGGTTTCGTCAGTATTCTGTAAAAGATGGAACATTTTTCCCCTCCATAGTTCTAATCCCCATGTTAACTCTCCACAGGCGGCCACTACTTAAATTTGCTGTGTATCTTTCCAGTCTATATTTTTATACTTTACCACACATATTTGTATTTATAATAATGTATTTTATTGTTTTGAATAGTTTGAAATATTCATAAATAGTAAACTATGGACATTGTTATGTAGATTTTCACTCACCCTTATTTCTTGAAATCCATCCATATTGATACTTACAGATCTTAATGTAACCAGTATGTAACATTCCAGCATATGACCAAACCACAATTATTTTTCTACTAATGATCATTTAGGATGTTTCTAATTTTCAGTATTACAAAGAATGCTGTAGTCAAACCTTGACAATATACATTTTCTGTTGAAAAGATGTAAATAAGTTAATAGTGCATGCATTAAAGTGGAATTGCTAAATTGTGAAGTATGACCATTTCATCTTTACAAGATTATCTCAAGTTGCTCTCTAAAGTGGTTGTACAAGAGCCATCCTCCCCCCCAAAAAAAGAAATCTTGCCATTTGCAAAGACGTGGATGAAACTAGAGGGTATTATGCTAAGTGAAATAAGTCAGTCAGAGAAAGACAATTATCATATGATCTCACTCATATGTGGAATTTAAGAAACAAAACAGGAGCATAGAGGAAGGGAGGTAAAAATAAAACAAGACAAAATCAGAGAGGGAGACAAACCAGAAGAGACTCTTAATCATAGGAAATAAACTGAGGTTGCTGGAGGGGAGGGGGGTGGGGGGATGGAGTGGTTGTGTGATGGACATTAAGGAGGGCACTTGATGTAATGAGCACTGGGTATTATATAAGACTGATGAATCACTGACCTCTACCTCTGACACTAATAATACACTATATTTTTTTTTATTTATTTGAGAGAGAATGAGAGACAGATAGCAAGAGAGGGAAGAGGGTCAGAGGGAGAAGCAGACCCCCCGCTGAGCAGGGAGCCCGATGTGGGACTCCATCCCAGGACTCCAGGATCATGACCTGAGCCGAAGGCAGTCGCTTAACCAACTGAGCCACCCAGGCGCCCAATAATACACTATATGTTAATTAATTGAATTTAAATTTTAAAAAAGACCACCTAATAAAAGAATTAAAAAAAAATAAAGTGGTTGTACAGGTGCAAAATCTCTTCTCTAAATTTTTTTGGCCACATGTATTTCAGAATTTTTGGAATGTAATATGATAATATTACAGAATATTCCCAGCAAGTATTCTGTTGACCATATCACATAATCAAATACAGTAATATTTTATGGATAGTAACACTAAGAGGAATAAAGATTATAAATAGCCACATAAAGTTCAGGTCGGGTTTTGCAGTCAAATGGGTTCCAAAAAATTTTGTTTTCTGAACTTTTTCAGTTTCAGAATTGTATATGAGGAATTGATGACCTATACCAATTTTTACTTGTTTCAGCAATGTATGAAAATTTCCCTTTCCTTCATTTACCTTATGACTTAGCATTGTCAGAATTTAAAAATCTTTGTATTCTGGAAATTTTCATATATATATGACACACATATATACATGTATATACATATATATACATATATTAAAGGTAATATATAATAATATGTATTATATGTGTGTATATATATATATCTCAAAGTAAAGGTAATACTATATGAAATCCCATGACTCTCCTGTATCCATCATCCAGCTTCAACAAATATTAGCGTATGGTCATTCTTGTCTCATTTATATCCCTACCCACTTCTTCATTCCCACCTCCAAGATGATTTTATAGCAAATTCCAGATTCCAGTTGCTTTATCTGTAATTACTAAAGTATATATTATATACTGAAGTATATATCTCTAAAAGATAAGGATTCTTTATGTACATACTTATATACAATGGCAATCACATTATCATACTTTAAAAGAATTAACAGTAATTTCTTAATGTCATAAAATGTCAAATGTTCACATTTCTTTACTTATCTAATAATTCTTTTTCCATAGGTTTGTTCAAATTCACATCCAAACAGATTACATTTGGTTTTATCTCTTAATTTCTTTTCATCTAAAAATTTCTCTCCTCTTTTCCCCCAGGTAGTTTATCCTGTAGTTTTCTATATTCTGAGTTTTGTTGATTCCATCTCTGTGCTGTAGTTTAACATGTTTTTTAAAAATCTCCTATATTTCCTGTGAACTGTTAGATCTAGAGGCTTAATTAAATGAATATTTAATCTCCATTAAAGTATTTTACAAGAATACTTCATAGGTGTGCTGTGTACTTCTTATTGCTACCTATGTGCAACACCTTTTTGTGATGTTAAAATTCATAAGTTGATTCAGTTATTTTAGTATATGTGCTGCAGAAGCGAGCACTGGATTCAGTTATTTTAGAGTATTGTCAAATTTTTTATTTTGCCAATATGAAGAGTGTGAGATAGTATTTTACTATTGCTTGAATTTGCATTTCCATATTTACTAGTAAAGTTGAACATCTTTTTATTTGTTCATTTAATATCTTTTTTTTTCTTTCTGAATTGCCTATTCGTAGTCTTTACCCATTCTTCTGTTTGGTTCTTTATTTTTAAAAATTACTTGTAACTCTTTACATTCTGCGTATTAATTCTTATTATCTCTATATTAATATAAATTCTTAAATTTATATTTAAATTTTTAAAGTTTTAAATTTTAATGTTGGCTTTATCAACACTTTCACTTACGACATTTTTTTATTTTATATTTGAAAAATTTGCTGTACTCTACCTAGAATAGGATATTCTACTTAAAGCCATGAACTTTTCACATCCATTTATTTATATTCTATTGCTGTGTAACAAATTACCCAAAACTTGATGGCTGAAAATAGCAAACATTTATCTCCTGGTTTCTGTGAGTCCGGAATCCAAGAGTGGCTTAGCACGGTGGTTCTGCCTCAGGTTCTGTCACAAGACTGCAATTCGGGTGTTGGCTGGAGCTGCAGGCATCTCACTGCTTGGCTGGGGGAGGATCTGCTTTCAAGCTCACTCATGTGGCTTATTCCTTGCCACATGGGCCTCACCACAGAGCTGCCTCACCTCAGACAGCTGATTTCGCCCAGACAGACCAATCCAAGCAAGAGCAAGAGTGTACCCAGGATGGAAGTCACAGTCTTTTTATAACCTTATATCAAAAATAACATCTTGTCACTTCTGCCATATTCATTAGAAGTAACTTAGTAAGTCTAGCCCATGCTAAAGGGGAGGGAATTACACAAGGACCTGAGTACTAGGAGGCCGGGATCACTGGGGACCATCTCAGAGGCTGGTTATTACATTATTGTAGTCCCCCCTTATCCGCAGTTTCACCTTCCAAGGTTTCAGTTGCCTGTTCTCAACCACAGTCTGGAAGCAGATAATCCTCCTCCTGACGTATTGTCAGAAGGTCAGTAGTAGCGTAATGCTACATCACAATGCCTTCGTCATTCCCCTCACTTCATCTCATCATGTAGGCATTTTATCATCTCACATCATCACCAGAAGGAGGGTGAGTACAGTACCATAAGATATTTTGAGAGAGACCCCATTCATATAACTTTTATGACAATATATTGTTATAATTGTTCTAGTTTATAAGTTATTGTAGTTAATCTCTTACTGTGCCTAATTTATTAATTAGACTTTATCATAGGTATATATGGATAGGAAAAAACATAGTTTATATAGGGTTTAGTATTATCCATCCTTTCAGGCATTCACTGTGGGTCTTGGAACGTATCCCCCATGAATAAGGGGGAACTATATTTTAACAGTACAAATAGAAATAAGGAAATAACTATAAAAGGAAATAAAACTTTACATGACAATATTTACTAACAAATGTAGCTTTTGCTAATTTCTACTTATAAAGTGGTGACATTTTATTATTAAAAACCGTATGTATGTAAATATCAGTTAACATTCAGTAAATGTGGTATTTGCAAATTTCTTTACCATAATGTACATTTGGTAAATATTATAATAAACTTTTAAACTTATGTGTTTGTACAACTTAGTAAGACTTACTGATGTTTTCTTTCCTTAAAGTTGTGTAATTGAAAGTGTAAATTTTGACATTGCCACCACCAAGTTATTTTTATTCTAGTGTCCAGAACAGATGGATACTTGAATTAATATCAATAGTTGGTTTTGGCCCACAGGGAGTAGAGCCGTGGTAATGGAGTGTCAGTATGGGCCAAGGAGAAAAGGTTTCCAGTTAAAAAAAATCAGTGAGCAGGAGAGCAGGTCTTGTCAGCTCTACAAAGCCACTTGTCCAGCCAGGTAAGCTTTATTTTCTTTAATTTCCTTTTTATTATAAAAAGTATTTATTTTCTAATATCTAATATGCACATTTTTATTAAGTTTAAACAGTGCCGATAAATATACAGTACAATGTAAGTTTCCTTTTACTTCTACGCCCTATGTCCCTTTTTATTTATTTATTTATTTATTTATTGTGTTTAGTTAGCATATAGTAGATCATTAGTTTTTGATGTAGTGTTCAACGATTCATTAGTCCTATGTCCCTTTTTAAGGCAACAACTCTTACCAGCTTCCTGAGCAACCCTCCAAAGATATTCTGTGTATGTGCATGCATATATATGTATATATCCTCCTTTACACTCATAAATGTTGAAATCTCAGTAAAACTTACTAATATTTTCTTTCCTTAAGGTTAGGTAGTAGTATACCTTCTTTCCTGCTGTGAATTCACATTGCTTTATTTCTATTTTGAATGCCTGTTGTGGTTATTTACTGCACAACTATTGCTTCACACTAATGTGAATGTAATGACATATACCACTCTATGCTTTCTTTTTATTTTTGTTATTTCATTCCCAGTGTATCTCAAAATTGTCTCCATATCTGCATATAAAAGGAAGGGTTCCTTCTTTGCATTTAGTTATTTTAAAAATTGAAATATAATTGACATATTAGTTTCATGGTTCCTTCTTTTCAATAGCCATACAATATTACATTTATGGATGGGTGGTCATTTACTGAATTAGTCCTCTAGTGATGGACATGTAGGATCTGAAAAGTATTCTTTATTATTATATACAGAGCTGCAGTTAATAACATTATACCTATTTGTATACTTGTGCAAGTATATCAGTAGAATAAATTTGTTGAAATGAAATTGCTAGGGCAAAGGTTATATTATTTTAAATGTTTACAGGTGTTATAAAGATGATTGCTCTTTAGAGAGATTTTATCAATGTATGAGATCAACACAATAAGTTTTAGATAGACTAGGACTACAGATTGGTCATTGCTTTGGGAGAGAATGAAGAATTTGAAGCAATACAAGATTTTGTAATGTTCTTTCTAATATTTTTTTAGACATTGAAAGTGTTAAATTCTCAGATAAAATTTAAAAAGATAACATATAAAGGTTGGGTATAGTTGATCTTTGAAACATTTTATTTCAGCATCATATCTTATATGACAAACCTGCACATTCTCAAGTTTTTCAAATTAGTTCAGAAGACTTTTCATGTTTAATCTGATAATATTAACTTTAGGCAATATTTAAACCTGACTGTGAAGCAAAACTTTTAACTGCTTTTAAATATAAGCAATATAAAACTTTAGATCTAACTTAGGAGAAAGTCTCTATGTGTAAAGAAATAATTTTATTCCCTATGTCATTCTACAAGTAGTTTTTGAGTATCTGTTGTGCCCAGCAATACTTTGGGTGCCATGGACTGAAAGAGGTACAAGATTTTACTTATTCACCGGGAACTTAAAATATTGTTTAGGTAGATCAGAAAACAAAAAACTGTTGGAAAACATAATGGTATAGTATATAGTACCAAATGTGTCAATTAGCTAACTCATCAGAGAAGGAACATATCCATGCAAATTCTTTAACAGGAAAGTGCAACTTAACCTGAATGCTAAAGTTTAGATTGAATTTGGGTAGGTAAGGAATTAGAGGGGAGATACTGTAGGCCAGGAAATTACATGAATAAAGATATGGTGTGATTTTGGTATCAGAGGAGGAAGGAACATTGAAATGATAAACTTCACCGAAAAAGCAATTTTACATTTGAAGTAATTGAAAGTAAGATTAGGTAAATAAGCTAGAATCATATGGGATGGCTTGAATGCTGCCAAGAAATTCATACTTGATTAAAAAGCAGGTAGATTCTTCAACAGAAAAGTACAAATGTGAAGAATTATTGTAGCATTAATATATCAAGTGGATTTAAGGAACAAGGAAGGAGGCTATTAAAGTAATCCAGGCATGAGTTTTTTGTTCTTTTTTGTTTTTATGTTTAAGATCTATTTATAATTTATTTTTACAAGTAGGAAAGTCCCTCCATTTTTTCCCTGCTTAATGTATATGAATATAAAGAAGTATTGATTTCACACTGCCTCCCACCCTGACAGAATGGGGTAACAGGAAGTTGTGAACTGAGAGCAGCCTTCTGACACCAAGATGGTTTCCTCTCTATCTGGGACTTGAACTCTGGTGCTCTCATCAGTCATCCTCTTGCCGATTTCTTTTCAGTTTATGAAAATCTATGAGTTTATAAGCATCCTCCCCAGTAGATGGGTCTACAAAGTCCTTGGGAAGTCAGTAACTCAGGGACAGGGTTGAACTGTCACTTCACAGTTTGTTTACGTAATGGAAAGCTGAAGAATTAACTCATACCATTTTCAAAGAACAAGCTCTTATTCTATACAAGGATGTGGAGAATCATCAGTACAATGAAAAAATGGTTGAGTAAAGTCATGAGTGATGAAATCAGAACTCTTGAACAATAGAAAGACTGCACTGAGGGTTTTACATTTCAGAGAACTGTTTATTGCTACCCAGTATGTATCCCTTGGGGCACTCCAATTAAGCTTAGGAAATACACTGTCCCCCAGGGAATCGATAGCTTCTTGACCTTTAGTGGTGACTTCGGGAAATTCTGGTGCCATAAGGGTAGCCGTGTTCTCATCATCCGACCACTGTATTTCTTCTGCCTTATTATCACTGTTTGGCTGGGAACGTGTTGGCGGAGCTTCTCTTCCTGAAACCACCAGAGTTCCATCATCAAGTAAATAATCCTTCACATTCTGAGGAGTGGAAGAATGACACTCTTGATGGTAAGGCTTCCGAACAGTGGCTACCACACAGAGAACTGACAGTGCAGCACATGCGCCTTCTTCATCCTCCAGCAACCGCAGCTGCTGCCCATCCCCCTCCTGCCAGCACCCTTCTGGAACCCCCAGGCATGCGTTTTTTATGGCTTCCAGGAGAATTGGGAAGAGGCAAATCCAGAAACAAAAGTTAATATCCATAAATATTCAGATATTTTTACTGATGTCATGATTATTGTTAATTTGCTAAATATTACGCACTGAGAATATGGCTTATTTTTCAACGTAATCCTCTGAATGCTTTCTAGTTTAATTGATTTTTCTCTAAACTTTAATGCTTAAACTTCTGCTTGGTAAGTTTGATTTTCTTGATATTATATTATGAAAGAAATTCTACTTTTACTTATAAACAGGATTTACATTAAAAAAGTACAGAAGTTTCCTGAATATAGAGTTCCCACAGACCCCAAAATTGACAAGAAAATAATTCGAATGGAGCAGGAAAAAGCCTTTAACATGCTAAAGAAGAACTTGGTAGATGCTGGCGGTGTTCTTAGGTATGACATTTATATTATTATTTTATTTTTTACAAATTAATTAGCGCCATTTACAAAATTTTTTTCTTATAAGAGAAATTATAATTATGTTTTCTAATTATTTCATTAAGAATGATTTTTATAAGGGAGATGTCTCATTAGTGGTTCCCTAGGTTTTAAAATTTGCCACTGTGTAAGCCATTGAGTTTATCAACCAAATGTTCTGATAATGCCTACCAAAGAATTCTGTATACCATATGGAAATTTTTCCCCAAAATGACAAATAATGTGTTTAGCAACTTATATAATTATATATTTCATACTTTGTTTCTGATACTTCTTAGGAGCCAAACTTGCAGTCACCTGTATATCTTTCTAACCCATCTTTGATTACCTATACCAGCTAGAAATTAATCCTAAGCCCTACATAAAATTCCATTTTTATATATTTTTTGTGCTTCAGATTTTACATAAGAAGAAATATTAGCTTGCTTTCTTACTTTTCTTTATGTGTTAGTCCAGGTGAAGAATTTACAGTAATACCAGGGGATTAAGTGTACAGAATATAGCTTTTGTAAAAACAAAACAAAACAAAACTTTTGGCTATGGGCGCCTGGGTGGCTCAGTCGGTTGGGTGTCCAACTCTTGGTTTCAGCTCAGGTCATGATCTTGGGGTTGGGGGATCAAGCCCTGGGTCCGGCTCCATGCTCAGTGGGGAGTCTGCTCCTCTCCCTCTCCCTCTGCCCATCCCCCTGCTCATGCGCTCTCTCTCGCAAAAAGATAAATAAATCTTTAAAAAAATAAATACATAAAATAAACTTTTGGATATATGGAAAATGAGTAGCCAATAATTAGATCATTCAGTTTGGAGAACATTGCATATAATTTTTAAATAAGCCACCATTTCATGAGTATCAGTCATTGCAAGCACTTTGTATAAAAGTATCCATTAAAACAGTATCCTACCAGATCATTTCATTTTCCTAGCATCTGTTTTTTTGCACTCAATATGAAAGACCTATATTCATCTTTTAGTTGATTCTCTTGCTCATTGGGGCAATAGGAGCTGTGTGCAATAGAGGGGCTATGGGGCAATAGAGGTAGTGTATTGAGCTCCTGTCAGATAAGATTCTCCCACTCAGCTCAGTCTTGGTAGACTGTGATTTATAGCCAACCTTTGGAAGGATTATAGGATTTACTTAACATGAAATTTAAAATACCATTTTCATATATACTTAACTCCTGTACCCTCCTTAACTATAGGGCCATAGTGAAAGTCTATAAAGGTTTGTAAAGATTTTTATTTAATTGGGTATAAAGCCAACTTAGAGGAGTCAAGCAGAGAGGGCACCTGGGTGGCTCCGTTGGTTGGCTGTCCAGCTCTTAGTTTTGGCTCAGGGTGGTGAGATGAGCCCCAAATTGGGCCCCAAGCTCAGTGTAGAGTCTGCTTGAGATTCTTTGCCTCCTCCTCTCTCCCTCCCCTCTCCCTCTACTTGCCCCCATGCATGCACATGCTCTCTCTTTCCCTCTCTCTCTCAAATAAACAAATAAATAAATAAAATCTTTCTTAAAAAAATCAGAGGACATTTTAAATTTTATTTATATCATTTTAAAATTTTTATTATATTTACTTACTGATATCGTATCTTAAAAGATTATTCTTTTTCTTGATGAGTTTTAACATAAGTAACTATGATTCTTGCCTTTGTCTAGTAACATAATTTTAAATTTTTCTTCTTGTCAGGTGGTATGTCCAGTTACCTACAAAGCAAGCTCATCAGTATCATGAATTAGAGACTTCCTGCCTCCCTTTGCCACCTTCTCCTTTTCCTATGTGTTCTCTTGAAGAAGAGGAAACTGCAATTAGGGATGAGAATTGTGCATTACCCTCACGTCTACATCCTCAAGTAGCACATAAGATTCAAGAATTGGTGTCACAGGGAATAGAACAAGTATATGCAGTAAGAAAACAGCTAAGGTACAGTAAAAACAAATTGTTCTTTTACATTTTTCATTTTTGTTTGTTGGTTTAAATAATTTATCATCATAGACATTTTCCAAGATATATGCTATCAGAGGAGATAAGGAATATAATTTATTAATTTATTAAAATCTTATTTATGAACTGATCATTTTCTAGCAGATACTTGGCAAGCCATTAGTAATGATTCAGCTTACTCATTTGAAATATTCCATATTCAAACTTAGCTAATTGGACTATTTCTGAATTATATATAAATTGAATTATATAATAAATGCCTTTACAGGAAAAAAAAGCCTTTGCAGAATCAAAGATTTTAAAACCTAGGCCAGGATGCTTATTTAAGCTATTTGAAATGCAATTAAATTGTATTATAACAAAAGAACCTGGATAGTTCTTTGTATGATGGAAGTTTACATGTAGCATTCTGGTCCAATGTTACTGATTCTCAGGATACAATAATCATGATCTCATTTATTCTTGCAAGTCTATAAAATTGGTATATTTACGGGCGCCTGGGTGGCTCAGTTGGTTGAGCAACTGCCTTCGGCTCAGGTCATGATCCTGGAGTCCCTGGATCGAGTCCCGCATCGGGCTCCCTGCTTGGCAGGGAGCCTGCTTCTGCCTCTGACCCTCCCCCCTCTCATGTGCTCTCTCTCTCTCATTCTCTCTGTCTCAAATAAATAAATAAATCTTAAAAAAAAAAAATTGGTGTATTTACCTCCATACTGCGCAAGAGAAAACGGACACTATGAGTGGTTAAATAACTGGCTTAAGAGGTAGAGGCAGAACTGAAATCCAGATCCAGTTCTACAACCTGTGCTCTTTCACCATGATTTCTGGTACTTAACTGGCCTTATTCCCACTGGTTACTGTGTAGTCCCGTCTGAACAACACGATGAGTATTTCCTAGGTTAATATCTTAATTAATACGTGATTTTCCCATTTAGCAGCTTTCTCAGACATTTTATATTCATTTTCATTGGGACATTGTTAGAACAGAGCCAAAATTTGGTAAAGTTCATACATTATTTACTAAACTTGAACCTTAAGAACAGAGGTATGGTTCAGCTCTGCAGTGTGGTCTATAGAATGTAATGCGCAAACCATATGAATATTGGACTTTATAATTTTTTGTGTATTTTTGTATATTGATGTGTCAATGCTGCCTTCTATTTCTATATTTCTCTTTTGTCTACTTAAAAAATTCAAGCAGGGCGCCTGGGTGGCTCAGTCGTTAAGCGTCTGCCTTCGGCTCAGGTCATGATCCCAGGGTCCTGGGATCGAGCCCCGCATCGGGCTCCCTGCTCAGCGGGAAGCCTGCTTCTCCCTCTCCCACTCCCCCTGCTTGTGTTCCCGCTCTCGCTGTCTCTGTCTCTGTCAAATAAATAAAATCTTAAAAAAAAAAAAAATTCAAGCGGGTCATATTTTATATAGTAAGTGATGCCTTTTGGCAGCAGTGTAACTTGATGTTTATACAATAACCTGGGTGTAGGCCCAACCTCTCTTACTTACTGGCTAGATGTATAACTTTGGCAAATTATTAAACTTCAGCAGCCCTCAGTTCCCTGGAATGATAATTGGGAGTAAAGTGGGAATGATCATTGCACTTACCTCACAGGATTATAGTAAGCATTAAAGGAGATCCTCGATGTGAAGAGTTCAAGTACACTGCCTGACATAGTTAGCATTCAAAACATATTATGCTTAAACTGACAATAATGATTCCTATAAAAATGTCAAAGCTTATTCTAGATACAGAGTTATTTAACCAATGAAAGTATTATATTGCTTTTAATCTGCATGATTTCTTTGATTTAATGTATGGAAAAAATTAAAAGTGGAAAAATATAAATTATAAAACTGTAAACCATGCTTTACAGAAGTTTATGCTAAAAAGGAACATTTTCTCATTTGATCTGAAGTATATTACTATTTATGTTTTTATTCTATTTTATGCTCTCCACAGAAAATTTGTAGAAAGAGAACTATTTAAACCTGATGAGGTGCCTGAGAGACATAATTTATCCTTTTTTCCAACTGTAAATGATATTAAAAATCACATCCATGAGGTACAGAAATCCTTGAGAAATGGAGATAATGTGTATAACTCAGAGATTATTCCAGCAACGGTATGATTACAATTATAATTCTTTGTTTTATTATAGAATCTTTCTCAACTTCTCTTACTATTTGGCCTAACGGGGTGGTTGTTATTTGGCCATATAAATAACTGTGATGAAAGAAAAAAATAGTAGTTTTGGGGGCGCCTTGGTGACGCAGCTGGTTAAGCATCCAACTCTTGGTTTCAGCTCAGGTTTGATCTGAAACGGAGCCCTGCGTCAGGCTCCGTCCTCAGTGTGCAGTCTGCTTGAGTTTCTCTCTCCCTCTTCTTGTGCCCCTCCTGCCCTGAGCTCTGCCTCTCACTGAAATAAATAAATCTTAAAAAAAAGCGGGGGGGGGCTCCTGGGTGGCTCAGTCGGTTAAGCATCTGCCTTCAGGTCAGGTCATGATCCTGGGGTCCTGGAATCAAGCCCTGTGTCAGGTTCCCTGCTCAGTGTAGAGTCTCCACTTCTCCTTCTGCCTCTGCTCCCATTCCTCATTCTCTCTCCCACTCGCTCTCTCAAATAAATAAAAACTTTTTTAAAAAAGAAGAAATAGGGCGCCTGGGTGGCTCAGTTGGTTAAGCGACTGCCTTCGGCTCAGGTCATGATCCTGGAGTCCCGGGATCGAGTCCCGCATCGGGCTCCCTGCTCAGCAGGGAGTCTGCTTCTCCCTCTGACCCTCCCCCCTCTCATGTGCTCTCTCTCTCAAATAAATAAATAAAATCTTTAAAAAATAATAAAATAAAAAAAAGAAGAAATAGTAGTTTCTTTTTCTTAAAATGTAAACATTGTGAACCCTAGGTGACGATTTGACTAAAATTTTTTTTATTACTCTCACAAGAAGAAATATCAATTTCCAACTCTGACTATAATAACAATAGTAATCTTCATTTAAAAATCAACATATTTTATTTCTGTAAAAGTATATCTTATTCATCTAACAAATATTTATTGGGTATATACTGTGTATACCTTCCTCTCTTTTTAAAAATAGATAGACAGGCGGCGCCTGGGTGGCTCAGTAGGTCAAACATCTGACTCTTGATATCTGCTCAGGTCATGATCTCCGGGTCATGAGATCAAGCCCCACATCCCATCGGGCTCCACCTCAGCAGGGAATCTGCTTGAGAGTCTTTCCCTCCTCCTTAGCCCCTCTCCCTGCTCGCTTACTCTCTCTCTAATAAATAAATCTTTTAAAAAAATGGGGCACCTGGGGGCTCAGTCAGTTAAGTGTCTTGACTCTTGACTTCGGTTCAGGTCATGATCTCAGGGTCATGAGATCAAACCCTGCCTTGGGCTCCGTGTTCAGTGGGGATTCTGCTTAGGATTTTCTGCCTCTTACTCTCTCCCTCCCCAACGCTTGCATGTGCTCCTTCTCACTCTCTAAAATAAATAAATAAATCTTAAAAAAAAAAATCTCAGTAGCAATACCCTTTGCTCTCCAAATTTTTACTACCCAAATTATGCCTTCTGAACTAAATAGATTCAGATTTTAAGCTAGTGCTACTATTCTTTTCCAACCCAAACTCTCTTATTTATTCACTATCCAAAGTTCAGGAAGTAAAATGGATTTGGTTAGCACTGATCTTTGCCATCTATACTTGCTATCCAAATTCTTGCTGTCTGAACTGGGGAAGCTAATGTATTTGGATAGTGGACTATACTCATATTTTGAGAATGTAAACAAGTGAAGAGAGTAATTACTGAATGAAACACAATTATACTATCACTGAATAAAATATGACAGTTGTATTGATATTTTAAAACATTTTTTTACTATAAATGCTTTATTGTTTTTACTGAAATAAATGTTCCCATTTCAGCTTCAGTGGACTACAGATAATGGGCATATTCTCAGAGAGACTGTGACAGTTACATTTGCAGAAGGTAAGTTATCTTGAATATATTTAATATATAAAATCAGTGTTAAAACTGGAAGACATTGGGGGCGCCTGGGTGGCTCAGTCATTAAGAGTCTGCTTTCGGCTCAGGTCATGATCCCGGGGTCCTGGGATTGAGCTCCACATCAGGCTCCGTGCTCAGCGGGAAGCCTGCTTCTCCCTCTCCCACTCCCCCTGCTTGTGTTCCCTCTCTCGCTGTGTCTCTCTCTATCAAATAAATAAATAAAATATTTAAAACAACAACAACAAAAAACTGGAAAACATTGAAGATATTATGTATAAACAAAAGGATACCATGTTAAATGCAGAGATAAGTATAAAAGAATGAATGTCTAACTTTATATAGGGGGTGAAGTTAAGAGAGCACTTAAAGCCAAATAGATTGATTTGAGTAGTGAGAGGAGTTAGCCATACAGAAGCAGAGAAAACACATTTCCAGAAGAGAAAAAAACAAGGGTAAAATAAGCTTGGAACACAAGAGTAAGAGCATATGAAAAAAACCAAACCATATAAAATGGACAAAGTTTCCTGATCAGGGTATCTTAAGGTTATCACTACTGGAATTAGCCTAGCTTTATAGTAAGCTGTACTAGCAGTTGGCCTCAAAATTTTAATCATAAAGCATAAAAGCCTATTATATGAGGAAATTTATTTTTTTTTAAGTTTATTTATTTATTTTTGGTAATCTCTACACCTACTGTGGGGCTTGAACTCACAAACCCAACATCAAGAGTCATATGCTCTTCCAACTAAGCCAGCCAGGCACCCCTTATTTTTAATTTTTGTTTGAATATAGTTGACACACAATGTTACAGTAGTTCCAAGTGAGTAACACAGTGATTCAACTTCTCTATATATTATGCTATGCTCACCACAAGTGTAGCTACCATCTGTCACCAAACATTGTGATTATAGTATCATTGATTATATTCCCTATGCTGTGCCTTTTTTTTTTTTTTTAAGATTTATTTATTTATTTGAGAGGGGAGGGAGGGGTGGTGGGACAGAATCTTCAAGCAGACTCCCCACTGAGCATGGAGCCCAATCTCATGACCTGAACTGAAACCAAAGCCAGATGCTCAACCAACTAAGCCACCCAGGCAGCCCTATGCCTTTTATTCCCATGACTTACTCATTCCATTACTGGAAGCCTTCTCCCACTCCCCTTCACCCATTTTGCCCATCCCACCCCACCTCTCCCCTCTGGCAACCATCAGTTTGTTCTCTGTATTTATAGGTCTGATTCTGTTTTTTGTTTATTCATGTGTTTTGTTTATCAGATTCCACATATGAGTGAAATCATATGGTATTTGTTTTTCTCATGAGAAGTTTGATTTATTTTACTTAGATTTATTTTACTTAGACTCCCTAGGTCCATCCATGTCATTATAAAAGGCAACATCTCATCCTTTCTTATAGCTAAATAACATATATGAAGAAGTATATATGAGTAACATATAAGTATATATGTTTAAACAGCTATAATTATTTTGACAAATCCTAACATAGTTGTTCCTGTCTCTTTGGGCCATAACAAGAGCATATGACTCTTGATGTTGGGTTTGTGAGTTCAAGCCCCACAGTAGGTGTAGAGATTACCAAAAATAAATAAATAAACTTAAAAAAAAATAAATTTCCTCATATAATAGGCTTTTATGCTTTATGATTAAAATTTTGAGGCCAACTGCTAGTACAGCTTACTATAAAGCTAGGCTAATTCCAGTAGTGATAACCTTAAGATACCTTGATCAGGAAACTTTGTCCATTTTATATGGTTTGCTTTTTTCATATGCTCTTACTCTTGTGTTCTCTTACTATTCGAGGCTTATTTTACCCTTTTTTTTTTTTCTCTTCTGGAAATGTGTTTTCTCTGCTTCTATATGGCTAACTCCTCTCACTACTCAAATCAATCTATTTGGCTTTAAGTGCTCTCTTAACTTCACCCCCTATATAAAGTTAGGCATTCATTCTTTTATACTTACCCCTGCATTTAACATGGTATCCTTTTGTTTACATATCTGTATCTTTCATTATGATTTGAGCTACTCAGTGGCAAGGGTTATATTTTATTCAAGTTAACATAACTAGTGCCTAGCATAATCCCTGCTACAAAGTTAACATCTAAATAAATGCTTTAGAATAAATTAATGAATAACTGTATACAGTACAATTATTTCTTTATTCTTTGGCTGTTTAACCTTTAAAAGTCACTGTGCATAGAGAATAACTTTCAAATTCTTTATCATTATTCATCTGTTCTGCACATATTTTACTCACTGTGATAAATGCTGGACATAAAAAAGAATAAGTTTCTTGCTTCATTGAATTTCAAATTTAGCAAGAGAAAAAGACACTAAGCACATATATTCTAATTACTGTTATGAATAGTGCCATAAAAGAGTTGTGCAAAATTGTGTGAGAATAGTGACAGACATATAACTTAATCTAGGGAGTAGGGAACTAACATTTGAGAAAGTGGCTTTTAAACTAAGAACTGAAGAATGGATAGGAATTTGTCAATCAAAAGGATACCATGTTTGAAAACTAAGCAAGAAAGAGCTTGTCATGTTCAAGGAACTTAAGAAAGTTGATATGGTTTTAAGCATAGACAATGCTTGGAGATAAAACTGGATATGCAAAATGGGCTTAGGAGGCCCTTAGAGCTGTCCAAATGAAAGGTGTGATAGTGGTTTAGTCTACAGTGAGTGGCATTTATACTAGAATTGGACAGATGGGGCGCCTGGGTGGCTCTGATGGTTAAATGTCTGTCTTCAGCTCAGGTCATGATCCCAGGGTCCTGGGATCGAGCCCCGCATCGTGCTCCCTGCTTGGCAGGGAACCTACTTCTCCTTCTCTCCCTCAGCTGTTCCCCCTGCTTGTGCTTTCTCGCTCTCTCTGTCAAATAAATAAATAAAATCTTAAAAAAAAAAAAAGTTGTTTTCAAAGGTTTTGGTTATTGATTGAATAGGTGTGGGAGGTAAAAGAATGGGAATGATCTGGGATGACTCCTGGGTTTCTTCCATGAGCAACTGACTGATAGTGGCATTTACTGAGGTAGGCAACACTGGTGTAAGAATAGGATTTGGTAATGGCAAGGGGAAAGAAAAAAGTTCATGAAATCAGGTTTGGAAAGCTTAGATACATATCAGAACCATTTCAGTGGAGTGGATTGGGAATAAGCCACATTGGGATGGTTGAAGAGTGAATGATGAATGAAGAAGTAGAGACAATGTGCTATGAGGGGAAAAAGGGTTGAGAGAAGGTATTTTCAGATAGGAGAAATCTGAAGAGAGAGATGAAGATGGAGGTATTTGATAGCTTTGATGATGGGAAGTTGAGGAAATTTCTGATAGTTTCTCTTTTCTCTTCAAGAGTGCTGAGAGTGAAAAAGATCTTAGGAAGTATGGCCAAGATTGGACAATTGAAATCTTCTAAAATATAGAAACTTTGTGAGGTTGTCAGATACAGGTGAAAGTCCTGTTGAAGTTGATGATCATGAATTGGTATTAGTAGTAGCAGCAAGTTTCTCTTTCATTCGCATTCAGCTTCACGTATATGGGCCATTTTCATTCAGTGTTAGGATTTTACCAGGGGTTGTAACAAAAGTACAAAGAAGCAAGGGAGGTTAGGGGATTTGCAAGAGAGTGACTGAAACTATAACCGTAGGATTCGACTAAGCTGGATAGGGAGAGAATTTTAATAAGAAAGAAGTTGATAGGGGCACCTGGGTAGCTCAGATGGTTAAGCATCTGCTTTCAGCTCAGGTCATGGTCCCAGGGTCCTGGGATCAAGCCCCATATCGGGCTCCTGGCTCAGCAGGGAGCCTGCTTCTCCCTCTCCCTCTGCCTCTCCCCCTGCTTCTCCCCCTGCTCATGTTCTCTGTCTCTCTCTGTATCTCTGGGTCTCTAATGAATAAATAAAATCTTTAAAAAAAAAAGTTGATACATCTGAAGAAAATTGAGGAATCAATGGACTGGAGGTTCACATGAGGTTGAATAATTGTAGTGAAGTACTTACGCAGAATCCCTGGAAAAATAAGAGGTTGTGATCAAAGAATGGGATGTTTGAATTAGAGATTTTTAGATGTAAAAGAGTCGAGGGTATGACAGTAGTAGTGGGTGACTATAGCAGAGTGACGTACAAGGACAATTAGAAATGAAGAAGCCAAAAGGTGAAAGAAGTCAGGCAGAGAAAGACATATACCATGTGATTTCATTTATATGTAGAATCTGAAAACCAAAACAAACAAGCAAATGAAGAGCAGAAACAGACCCATAAATACAGAGAATAAACTGATGCTTCTCAGAGGGGAAGAGTGGTAGGAGACGGCAAAATGGGTGAAGGGGAGTGGAAGATACAGGCTTCCAATCCTGGAATGAACAAGTCACAGGGACAAAAGGAAACATAGTCAATGGTACTGTCATGGCATTGTATGGTGGCAGATGGTAGCTACACTTGGGATGAGTATAGCACAACATACAAACTTGTGGAGTCACTGTATTGTACACCTGAAACTAATTTAACAATGTGTGTCAACTATACTTTAATTTAAAAAAAGAACTAAAGAAACCAAGAAATGTGAGAGTGCTGTTTAATCCTCTCAACAACGCTTTGAGGAAGATTCTCTTACTATCCTGATTTTACAGGTGAAAAAACTGAAGTTTAAAAACTAAGTTAAGGGCACCTGGGTGGCTCAGTTGGTTAAGCGACTGCCTTCGGCTCAGGTCATGATCCTGGAGTCCCGGGATCGAGTCCCGCATCGGGCTCCCTGCTCGGCAGGGAGTCTGCTTCTCCCTCTGACCCTCCTCCCTCTCATGCTCTCTGTCTCTCATTCTCTCTCTCTCAAATAAAATAAAATAAAATAAAATAAAATAAAAGAATTGTTAAAAACCAAGTTAAGTAGCATGTTGAAGGTTACAGAGAAAAGCTAGCTAGTGCTTAAATTCATCCTTGTCTGACACCAGGGCCATTTTGAAAAATTACTTAGTTACAGTATGGAAGCAATAAACGGTTGTTGATAATTGGTTTTTGATTGACTTAAAGAGATGAATATATTTGGGTTAAAACATAGAAATTACATGAGAGGAACTATATTCCCTAAGAACAATTACTTTAGCAAATGAGATTTTAAGAGAACAGATATTTACTCTTAGTCATTTATTACAAAATGAGTTATTGAAAGAAATTGAATGCTGTTATATTGAGGACCAGCTTTATGCCAGGCGTTATCCTAAGCATTAGGGCTACCAAAGATGAATTAAGTTTGGTCTTTGTAATTGAGAGGTTCAATAGCTTTCACACATCCAGAGAAGTTTAGATGTAGTCCAACATCATAGCATAGAAAATGGACTAGATTTGAGTTACAAATACATAATCTTTCAAGGAAAAAAATACTTTTCCAACATCACATCCTAGATATACTGAATTAAAAATTAATGGAGGTTGAACCTAGGAATTTATATTTTTAAAAAGTTCCTGAGTGATTCTGATTCTACCAGTTCTGGAAATAGTGGACAAAATAACTTCTTAAAGTCCTTTTCAAACCTTTGAATTTATTTCCTATTCTAATTAAGATAGTAAGTGTTGTAATAAAATACAGTGTCACATAGCATAGAAACCATAAACATTATTTTGTTTTGATAGCTGATTTTTTTTATATAACTTAGGAAATTCACCAGGGGAATCAATTAACACCAAAGTGGAAACAAATCACACAACGGGTTCTTTGTCTCCAGAGCCAGCCCATTTGCTTTCTTCACTTTCCTCATTTCAACCAAAAATATTTACACAACTACAGGTAGGTATCCAGTGAAATAGACAAAATTGAAGCCCTTCCCTTTCTTCCTTAATCTCTCTTCTTCTTCTAGGAATTTTATAGAATTATTATAGAATTATGGTAATGATCACAGATGTTTTTATTATTAATTTCCTGACTTTTTTGTATCTTGATGTAAGATCATTTAAACAATACATTTTGAAAGAGTTGGAGTTGACTATGCATGTAATAAAGTTTAGTTGTACTACTTTTCCTTTGATTCTTGTTTCTGTCCTCGATATTTGTTAGTAATTATACACCTGTATTTTATTCCAATTATGTGTCAAAAGAATAATATATCCTATGAGAAAATTATACTTAGTAAATTTAAACATTTTGATGTGACTCTTTTTGGTTTAAAAGGGTTTGCAGTTGCAACCAAGATTCACTTCGCCTGATGGATCAACGGCTCCGATATCAGTAAATAACCACCCTTCCTCCAGTCCTTCAAGACTCCTGGATTCATTAGAAAGTACTGTAATGAGTAATAATTCTCTACTGCTTGGTCAAAGTCATAGTCTTCAAACAGATACATGCCTTACCCCAAACAGTAGCATTATTACCTCTACCATGGGTAGCCTTCCGGGACCAGATCAAAATCTGGCTGCAATGGACCAGCTGGTGGAAGTTGGAGATGTTGAGGATACAGAGAATATGGAAGGAAGTGTTCATCGGATTCTTCTGGGAAATGTGCAGACCATCCCAATACAGATTATAGATAGCCACCCAGCTATTAGTAAGTTAAAAGCAACTTGTGATTTTATTTTTTTAGCCTTTATGGACTATCATTACTGTTACACTACAGAAAAAAAACAATCATTTCTACTCAGGGGTTTATAAAATATAAATAAAGTAAAATCCTAGAAAAAGGGAAAAATATCAAGAGCATAATAACTTTTAAACTTTATTTTTTCTTCTCCATCAAAATTATTCATTCCCTAATTACCTCAGTTTACATAGAAAATCTATGGTGATATGAAACCAGAGAGTTATTTTAGAATGCATGAAAAAAATGAGAAACTTTTTTTTTTAAGATTATGTATTTATTTATTTATTAGAAAGAGGGCATGAACGGGGGGAGGAGCAGAGGGAAAGGAAGAAGTAGACTCCCCACTGAGCAGGGAGCCCGAAGTGGGGCTTGATCCCAGGACCCTGAAATCATGACCTGAGCTGAAAGCAGATGCTTAACTGACTGAGCCACCCAGGTGCCCCATAAAATGAGAAACTTTAAAAGGAAAACATTTAGTGTAAATGTTACTGTGGAAAAAGTGTTACAAGGAAAAATGGAATGAAGTAGGCAGATATAAATGTTAATGATTTTGAGTTATAAACTTAGATGTTGACTTCTATGGAAATTGAAAGGGAATTAGTTAAGCCTTGGGGACTTGGGTTTAATCCAAGACCTTGTTATCTTCACTTTGTAACAAACCCAGTCAACCTAGTGATAAATTCTAACTGCTACTTGACCTACGTCGCTCCCTTCCACATAGAATGTTTTGGATTGGGCACTTTTGTGCAGAAAGATTTGCAGTTTGCTTTGAAGAACAAAAATCTTCATAGAAATTATCCTTAGAACATACAAAGTATTTACCCTCCATTCTTAGTCATCATTCTTCTGGGTAAGGAAAAGTGTAAGGTAGTTCCTTCCAGAAAGGAATCATTATCTTTTAACTTTATTGGAAGTGTTACTTTTAAGAAAATTTATCCAGAGAGCTGTGGCAGTTGTCACTACTGAATAAGTTTAGTAGAAAAGAGGGAAAAGGAATATATGTGAATTAATCCTCAGAACTTCATGAAATAGTTGATGGTGTGCCCATTCTACAGATAGGTAAATCAAGGCTCAGGGAGGTTAAGAGATTACCTAAAAGTGATAGAGCAGGGATTTAAACCCAGATCTATCTGCCTCCAAAGTTTCTTTCCATTCTAACATGCTTCCTCCCTCTATGTTGTACCAAGGTATTTCTGGGAGCTCTAATTCAGATTGTTTTAAAGGAGACCCTCTTTGTATCTGAACTTGTGTGATTTATCAAGTTAGATCATGATCTGAGGGACTACTTTACCTGAATATGAATTCTCAGGGTCACTCAAATCCATCTTCTACTGGTTTTCTTTATGGTGTGGGCTAAACTCCTAATATGCCCATATGTGACAAGCATTAGGGGTATTCAACATACTTTCCTGAGTAAATATTGGTCCCCTTAATCTTGGTTCCCTATAGCAACTGAAAAACTGATATCCCTGAGAAAGAGAAAGATTTTATCTTAGACATCCCACCTGCCAATTCAAGATAGTGTTGCTGGTATCCTGCAATCAGATTAATTTGGTCATAAGTACTTTAAAATCAGAATAGTAAGTGCATTGTACAGTGTTTCAGATAAGCAAACATACAGCTTGTAGAGCTAAGTCAGAACTATCCTTTAAGATGTGGCATATTTTTTTCTAAAGTACTTATGTAGTTGAGTTTCTTTAGGGAGGGAATATTTTCCTTATATATGGCCACATGTGGAAACCATATGGGATTGGTAACAAATTTGTAAATTTGTAATACATATACCTACTGTTTGCAAAACATCATTTTCAAATAATAGACTTCCTGACTTTTATTTACACATATTTTTAAAGGCAGTTAAGTTTAAATATGAGATAGTCCTCATAATTTTATCAAATTATGGACTGCTTTTTTGTCAAATTATCTGTAGAGGAGAGTAACTATGGTTTTCTTAGTCTCTTCTTGTTTTTATTACCAGAAACATACTGAAGGAATTTTTTTTAACTTCTCAACATTTAATTTTTTATTATTTTTCATTTTCTTTCCTTTTTTTATTGAAGTTTAGTTAACACACAATGTTTCATTAGCTTCAGGTGTACACATCCTGAGAGAATTTATTATGAATGACTATTAAGATGTCAGAAATACTGAGTTCTCAAATACACTGTTTTTTGCTTCTGAATTCATATAATTATTAAGATTCCAGTGTTACAAGTTACATTAACCTTTAGGGTTTTTCTTTTATGTTTGGTTTTAAAGTTGAAGAAAATCCAGAAGGTACCATTTCTGTGAGCCAAGTTAAGCAAGAACCCAAAGAACCAGCATTGTCTATGGAAGCAAAAAAAAATTTGGACTGTAAGAAATTATCTGCCACATAAATTATTGAAGCTTTTCAGAATTTACAACTTGGGTAACTTCTGATGTCATAAAAAAGAAGGTGAATATTGTCAAAGTGCAGCAATGTGATAAATGGACTGAAGACTAGTTCAATGAGCAACTTTGATTTAAAACTGATATGTTTGTTGCCAAGTCCATATTTTTGGAAGCTATTTTACTGCTCTCATTTTGTATAATTCTTATGCTTTTTGATTATCTGGTAAGGCCAGTATTTCAAAAGATCATCTGAATTTATTCATGACAATATAGTCTGAACACAAATAGTTACCTAACTCATCCCTTGGAAATATCCAATTTGGGTTCTGAAAAGACAAAAACAACAACAAAAAATAGTGTGTGAGTGTGTGTGTGTGTGTGACTGTATGTGTGTGTGTGACTGTATGTATGTGTGTTGACTTTTTTTAAAGTTATAAAGTAACTTATTTCCTCTTTAAAGTTGTGAAGAAATTCTTTACATTAGCAGACAGGTGAGAGATTATTTGTAGTCTGTCGCATTAGGAAAGATAAAACAGTAGTAGATTTGAATCATAACATGAAGCCCAGCATTCACATCTGTGGAAACTAGTTGCAATTTGGCTTCTTCCATTATAGTTTTTATACCTGAAACTACAAACCAATAGCATACTAATGGTCATCTAATAGAAATTTAAAGTGTCTTGGTAAGTACTCAGAATTTTAATTTGAATTAATCAGATAAGCAACAGAAATAAATGTATATTGCATGGGTTTATATAGTATTGTAGGTAAAGCACTACTTATGGATAGGAAAATGTAGAAATTGAGAGAATTCAGAAAGAATAATAGACTTCCCCTGGTGTTTACAGATGATTTGGGGGACTTTTTGATATCAGCAGAGGATTTTTTTTTCCTATTTTGTATTGAAGATTCAGCTCTGGATGGAAAAGAATTTGAGTTGTATTTATTTTTCTATGCCAGAGTTCTTACTGAATTGGTGGTATTAGAATTTATAGTATTTCAAGGTAAGTATTTGTAGTTAAAAAATTAGTTCATATTTAAAACTTTAAAACAACTGTGTACATATGTTTGCTTGTTGAGTAAGTATATTTACTCCAAATACTGAACAGGTACTAATCACTATATTCATTGTAAGCTTCTGTTTTCTGGAAGGTTGGTAAACTAGAAATGTCAATTATAAATGGTCAAGAAATCAACGTAAAGGCTTTTTTCACCCCAGGAACCATGTGTGGGTATATTTAAAATTTTATTTTAAAGTAATAAGGATTTCAAATGGATATTAATGTTTAATATTAAATGCATATGAAATATATGAAATTTAACCTTAATATCTTACCATTTTTGGCTTTTCTAAGTCCAGTCTCCCATTCTTAATTCACTTTAATTGTTGCAGGTACACAGCATGTATCTAAGTATAAAGTATTGTTATATTAGAAGTCAGTGGAACTCTAATAAAAAGACCTTGCTCTTTAGATTTATACCCTATTTAATATAAAATGTATTATTTATACCCCTATTAATACAAAGTTAATATTCAATTACATATATGCTTTTTAGTTAGAATGGCTAACTATTCTAAGATTTGAAAATATTTGATGTCAGCATTTTCACACAGGCTGCCAAATCTGATTATGTTACTCTAAGTTAAACACAGCTCTTAGTTACCTCAAACCCAGATTTCTCTTAGTCTGTGTGTACTTAAAGGGTATAAGTCTAAATTTATAGTTTAGTATTACATTTTAGGTAATATTCTTTTCATTTGTTATTTCTAATTTTTATGGAAATTGTTTTCAAGATTTTAAGTAATCTTCACTTTTCATTAATGGCAATAGCTTATTAAATATTTTACCAATTGAACTATATTCCTTTGGAGACATTCTTTTCTTTTTTGATGTTGAGTTGTTAAGGAGAAATGCTTGTTAAGATACAAACTCTAGTGAGTTACCTAGGATGTAACTAGATGTTAGAGGATTCAGACTTTGGCACTTGATTAAGAACAAAACATAGTTAAAAAATATTTCTCTCACTTCATTCTATGTGAATGTCTCTTTCTGGTACTGATTTTTGGTTTTGTTTTTTGTTTTTATTTTTGTTTTTTATGAGGACAGAAAGTCACAGTGCATCCTCCTCACAAACAAAAAGCAAAATTAAAAAAGAGCATTGAAGGAAGGTTTAAGTCCCTAATTGTATACTCTTTTGGTTTTTAGGTAGAAACTGGAACTATCAATATTTTCATGTAAGTATTTCAATGAGTAGCTCTTTAAAAATAGTTTCTAAATTTTTAAAAATTCATTTGTCCTCTAAATGCATGTTCAGTCACAATATACCAGTATTGTGTTTTAAAGGTGCTTAGCATCGCTTTTTAAAAAGTATGTTTACATATTTTAAATATTCAGTTATTTTTTAAATGCACAGGGTATTAAATACAAGTGCATAAAATTTTCAGTATCTGTATTTGGCATTCTCCTAACAGCTCTACAGCAAACTTTGACATGTGCTCTTTTGTGTCATGTATTACAAGGTGTAATATCTGTAGTAGTGAGTTGGACATTCAAAATAAGCCGTTAGAAATTCATAATTACAGCTGAGCTTTTTTCATCATTGTGGTTTTCATGTTCCAAAGCCTCCTAGTGAACTTTATATATACTACAGTGAATTAAAGATAAACACCACCATGGTGGGCTTTTTCCTCAATATTGATTTTCTCCATAAGCAGTTAACATGCTTAAAAGAAAAAGCTTTTTATACAAAGTACCTTATCTTATCCAAGGTAAATGTTTTCTAAAAGTCACAAAATGATAGAAAACAGATTTTAGAAGCTGGTCCTGCTTCTGAGTTTCTGATTTTGAGGCCCACCAGCTTGTGTTTCATTTTTACATCCTGTCAAAATACATACTTAATCATGTGAGTATGTGAAAGATGTCATTTAATTTGTACCAGGTTTTTAAAAAAGTTTTAAAATGTGTGTATATATATATATTGTAACTTAATGTATAGTGTCCTTGTTATAATGTAATTTTTTTCATTAAAAATCCTATGTTATTTTTTTCTTAAACTTGTTAGTTTTCTTTTTATACTTTTTTCTGGGGATAGTGGTAGTTTTGTTCATCTTAAAGATGTTGAATAAACACTTTAATTACATGAGAACTTAGGCTAGAAATTTATGTTCAATTTGGGACCTGAAAGTTTTTCAGCATAACTACCAGTAACTCCTCTTATCATTACATTTAGGGACATATATGCATTTAGTACTCTCAGCTCAGCCAACCATCAACATTTTAAAACAATGCAGGTAATAAGGTATTAGTAATTCTTTTTCTCACATCTTGGCATTGTGATATCTTTAAGTACAGCTTTTTATTTTTTTGGCGTAATGAAAGAAGTATGTGGTTTTTTTTAAAAGAGGAAGGATCATCAGTGTTTTTCCTCTTGGGTTTTTTTTTTTTTTTTCCCTTTATTCCACCTTGTCTATTTTATAGGACTGTAGAAAATCTTACTCTCTCCAGAAGGGGTACTGTATTAACTCTTCCCCATCAGTTGATTTAGCTTTAGACATCTTAAATGGTGTATTACTTTGGTATCTAAATATCTGTAATTCTACTTAATTAACTTAGTTGTAATGGCAAAGCCTTAGTGTACTTTTGCCACATACACATTAACTATGAAAACTATTGTTAAATAATACAAATATTCATTGCTGATTGAATTCTTAAAACTTCAGGAATAAAATCAGAATCTTAAAAAAACTCACTAATGGATTCTAAATTTGATTCATGAGAAAAATAAATTGTATGGTTAATATTGAAAACCTTTGAAAATGTGATATGGGTATAATTGTGCAGAGGAAATGTTGTTTAAGGGTAAAACTTGCAATTAGTAAATAAGTCCTGGAATTCTAAGGTACAGCATAGTAATTATAGTCAATAATACTGCATTATAAAATTCAAAGTTGCTCAGAGACTACATCTAAAAGGAAAGAATGAGGGAGGTAATAAAAAAGGGAAAAAATAATTGTGTGGCATGATAGTGGTTATTAGCTAACTCTGTGGTGGTAATCATATTGCAAAATATAAATTACCAAATCAACACATTGTATACCTTAAATTTAATGTTATGTGTCAGTCATATCTCAGAAAAAAAAAATAATTCTGAAACCAGAGGACAGAGGGGGAGTCAGATATTGGCAGTTTTTAAAAATATTTTTATTGAGGTATAATTGACATAAAATAAATTGCACATATTTAAAGTGCACAATTTAATAAGTTTTGATATACGTATATATCTATGAAACTATCACCACAATCAAGATAATGAACATATCCATCACCTCCAAAGATCCTAGTGCCTCTTTGTAATCCATCCCTTCTTCCTGCCTCCCACCCCTACCTCACCATCCCCAAACTACTGATTTGCTTTCTGTCACTAGAGATCAGTTTTGTCTACAATTTTATAAAAATTATATAGTATAAACATTTCTTTTTCTGACTTTTGTCACTCAGCATAGTTATTTTCAGATTCATCTATGTCAGAGTATATGAATAGTCCATTCCTTTTTACTGCTGAGTAGTATTACATTGTATGGATATACCACAATTTGTTTATCCATTCACCTGTTGATGGACAACTGGGTTGTTTACAGTTCTTGGCTATTACAAATAAAGCTGCTATGAAAATTTGTATAAAAGTCTTTGTATGAATATATGCTTTCATTGCTCTTAAGTAAATAGTGGAATGGCTGGGTCATATGGTAGGTATATATTTAACATTTTAGCAAACTCAAGTGATTGTTTCCAAAGTGGTCATACCATCTTACGTTCCTGTCAGCCATATATGAGAGTTCCAACACTTGGTATGGACAGGCTTTTATATTGTAGGCATTGTAACAGGTGTGTAGTATCGCATTGTGGTTTTAATTTCCATTTCTATAATGACCAGTGCTGTTGAACATCTTTTCATGTGTTATGTTCCATCTGTATATCTTCTTTAGTGGAGTGTCTGTTTGAATCTTTACCTCATTTTTAAATGGAATTGTTGTTTTCTTATTATAGAGGTTTAGAAAGTATATTCTAGATACAAATCTATTTTTTTAAAGATTTTATTTATTTATTTGACAGAGCACAGCAGGGGGAGAGGGAGAAGCAGGCTCCCTGCTGAGCAGGGAGCCCGATGTGGGGCTTGATCCCAGGACCCTGGGATCATGGCCTGAGCTGAAGGCAGCCACTTAAGACTGAGACACTCAGGCACCCCCAAGTCCATTTTTTAGAAATGTTATTGACAAGTATTTTCACCTGATCTATAGCTTATCTTTTCACTTTCTTAACATAATCTTTCAAAGAACAGTTCTTTTTTTTTTTTTTTAAGATTTTATTTATTTATTAGAAAGAGCACACAAGCAGGTGGAGGGAGAGGGAGAGGCAGGCTCCCTGGCTGAGCAGAGAGCTCGATGGGAGGCTCCATCCCGGGACCCCGGGATCATGACCTGAGCCGATGGCAGATGCTTAACCAACTGAGCCACCCAGGCACCCCTCAAAGAGCAGTTCTTAATTGTGATTAAGTCCAGTGTATCTTTTTTTTCCTTTGTGGATCATGCTTTTGTCTAAGAGATCTAAGAGATCTTTGCCTAGCCCAAGGTTAGATTTTCTCCAGGTTTTCTTCTCAGAAGTTTTATAACTCTGAGTTTACATTTAGGTGTATGATCTATTTTGAGTTAATTTTTATATACATAGTACACAACCCTTTTTGCTTATGAATACCCAATTGTTTCAGTACCATCTTATGAAAAGACTATTTCTTTTTTTTTTAGATTTTATTTATTTATTAGAGAGAGAGAGAGACAGCGAGAGAGGGAACACAAGCAGGGGCAGAGGGAGAGGGAGAAGCAGGCTTCCCGCCAAGCAGGGAGCCCGGTGCGGGGCTCTATCCCAGGACCCTGGGATCATGACCTGAGCTGAAAGCAGACGCTTAACGACTGAGCCACCCAGGCACTCCAAGACTGTATTTCTTTATTGAATTAAATTTATACCCTTGATGAAAAATTCATTAATCACATATATTTGGGTGGCTTTCTGGACTCTCTTCTTTTTCACCGAGAGATTGTCTATCTCAGTGGTCTCAAGCAGGACAATTTTGCCTCTAGGGGACATTGCACAAAGTCTGCAGATAGTTTTAATAGTCATAGCTAGGGAGATACTACTTGTTTCTGATAGATAGAAGTCAGAGCTTCTGCTCAATATCATACAATGCACAAGGACAGTCCCCACAACAAAGAATTATCTGACTCAAAATGTCTATAGTACCAAGATTGAGAAACTCTGGGCCATACTGATGCCAGGACCACACTGTCTTGATTACTATAGCTTTATGGTAAGTCTTGAAGTCAGGTAATACAGTCTTTGAAACTTACTCTTCCTTTCAAATTTCTTTTGTCTATTCTGAGTTCTTTGTTTTCCCATGTGAATTTTAGAATCACCTTGTCAATTTCTTTTTTTGAAAATGCCTGATGGGATTTCAACTGGGATTATGTAGAATGTATAGATCAATTTGGGGATAATTGAAATCTTAATATTGATACTTTATTTTTTCCTCTGCAATGTCTTAGAGTTTTCAGTGTATAGGTCTCTCATATCTTTTGTCAGATTTATCACTAAGAACTTCTAAATGGCATTGTTTTTTCATTTCAGTTTCTTATTTTTTGCATTAATATGGATATACAATTGATTTGTTATATGGATCTTATATCTTGCAACCTTGTTAAACTCACCTATTCTCATAGCTTTTTGATACATTCTATTAGATTTTCTACATAGACAATTATGCTGTTTTACATCTTTCCAATCTGGATGCTATGTATTTCTTTTTCACAACTGTTACACTGACTAAAACCTAAACTACAGTTTTGATTAGAACTCGTTAGACTGGCCATCCTTGCCTTGTTTCTGATCTTAGGGGAAAAGCATTTAGTCTTTTCACTATTACGAGGTTAACCATAGTTTTTTCATATGTCCTTTATCAATTGAATGAGAGTCATCCTGTTCTTAGCATGCTGAGAATTTTTGTTAGGAATGGATATTTGATTTTGTCAAGTGCTTTTTCTGCATAGATTGAGATGATCATTTGGTTTTTCTTTTTTTAGTCTCAACAATGTGATAAAAGACTTTGACTGAATTTCAAAGGGTAAAACAGTCTTGCATCCTTACATTCCTGGAATAAATCATACTTGTTCATCAGGATGCATTA